TATAAAATATTTGAAAAAGAAATAAAATTCAATCTTCTTCCATTTTTACTACCTCTCTGAATTCTCCCATTTAAAAATCTTTCACTCAACATTGTCTATGAAATTAATCCAAATTGTTTTGTGTTCATTTAAAATTACCATGTACTTGGTATTGGAACAAGAACAGACATACAGACCAATGGAATTGAATAGAAAATCCAGAAATAAACCCACAGATTTATGGTCAACTAATCTTTGACAAAGGAGCAAAGACTATGCATTGGAGCAAAGAAAGTTTGTTCAATAAATGGTGCTGGGAAAACTGGGTCGCTACATGCAAAAGAATGAAGCTTCACCACTACCTCACACCCTACACAAAAATCAACTCAAAATGGATTAAAGAACCAGATATAAGACCTGAAACCATAAAATACATAGAAGGAAATATAGGCGAAACACTACGTGATATGCACATCAAAGACATCTTTACAGACACATCACCCAAAGCAGTGATAGTGAAGGCAAAGATAAACAGCTGGGACTACATCAAATTAAAGAGCTTCTGCACAGCAAAAGAGACAATAATAAAAACAAAGAGAAACCCCACCAACTGGGAGAACATTTTTGCACACAACACTAATGATAAAGGACTGATCACAAAAACCTGCAAAGAGCTGATGAGACTCAACAACAACAAAGAAAATAATCCAGTCAAAAAATGGGCAGAAGAGCTAAAAAGAAACTTCTCTGAAGAGGAAATGCAAATGGCCAACAGGCATATGAAAAAATGTTCAACATCACTTGTAATCAGGGAAATGCAAATCAAAACTACCATGAGATACCATCTTACACCAGTGAGAATGGCACATATTAAAAAAACTAGCAACAACAAATGTTGGCGAGGGTGTGGCGAAAAAGGAACTCTTCTGCACTGTTGGTGGGAGTGCAAACTGGTCCAACCACTATGGAAAGCTGTGTGGAGATTCCTCAACCTACTAAAGATAGAGCTTCCATATGATCCAGCAATTCCACTCCTAGGTATTTACCCAAAGGACACAGAAACATCAATTCCAAAGAGCACCTGCACCCCTATGTTTATAGCAGCTCTATTTACAATAGCTAAGCTGTGGAAACAGCCCAAATGCCCAAAAATAGATGACTGGATCAAGAAGATGTGGTACATATATACCATGGAATATTACTCAGCATTCAAAAAAGATAAACACATGCTATTTGCAGCAACATGGATGGGGCTGGAAGGGATCATGCTCAGCGAAATAAGCCAGAAAGAAAAAGAAAAATACCGGATGGTCTCACTCATAGCAGGAATCTAGAGAACTTAAATAAGGGACCAGGAAAATGAATAACTATAAGAAAGTGAAAATCAAAATCAACAAAAAACTATGAACCAGAGACACTTTTTGGGGGGTGGGGGGTGGGAGGGGAGGGATTGGGGTCAGAATGGGGAGGTTGCAATTGTATGGGGAATATAAAAATAAAATTTATTATTTAAAAAAAATTAAAATAAAATAAAATAAAATAAAATTACCATGTACTATTGTAATTTTGTTAATATGCTATACTTTATCATTATTCTACCCGTGACATACATTTGGGTATGATATTCACCACAATTACTCTTGTATGCATAGGTATGTGCCCATACATTCCCATTTCTGTGGCCCTTATACCTTGGAGGAGGCTGAGATCACACAAGGATACTTTGGTAGACACTGCTTTTAATCTTCTGACAATGTAATTGGCCCTTTCCACGACTATCCCCACTATTCTTACACATTTAATTGTCTTTATCTTGACTTCAATTCCAATCATCAGTCGTGTTCTTCCATCTTCTAGCTCAACATTTACACCTGGAGGTTTTTCAAGTCATCAAAATAAGTTGAATCAAATTCATCTTCCTATCCTCCCACCCTCACCATCTCCTCCTCAGAACTCCCTAGTGTTATTGCCCTTCTGGCCATCTAGGCTGGTAACCCTGGCAGCCCAAGCCTAGGAGGAATTTAGATCTTGCCAGTGACATTGCCAACAAAGAAGCTCAAAGGGGAATGGAGATGCTCTACAACACAGTTCCAACTGTTTATTTGAAATGGCTAATAAACAGAAAGAGCAGAAAATTATTTTCAGATTTCCTATCTCCCAGGACATACCACCTAATGTATGGGACCATTGTCTTCAAATTCTACCTTGAAAATAAGCATTTTCTCTTTTAAGAAGAGATGTTGAAAAAAAGAGAAGACAATTTATGAAACATTTTCAATCTTTGTATCGGGTAGATTTAGGACTCAAGTCCTTTTTCTCCCACCTACTTACTATATGACTTTGGGTAACTTATTTCCTCTCTGGTCCTTGGTTTCCTCATCTATAGAGCAAGGATAACCAATGCTACCTTGTCCATTTGCTGTGAAAATTAAATGAGATCAAGAGACTTAGTATGACATTTGACACGTTTATACTCATTAAGTGTGGCTGGTGTGACTTAAGAGAATTTGCCAATTCTCTCAGTGGGAAAACTAGATAAATTGCAACTCATTCAGTGTCCCAGAGAGGTTGCCACTGGACAAGCAGCAATTTCAAAGTTCTAATTTCTTTTACTTTGCTCTCTGAATAGCTCAGAAGGGATGGATAGACTGTGAAAAATGTTCTCAGTCTGGTCAATTTGAGGTATTTCATTTCACGAATCTGTCTGGAAACTGCCAGTTCATTTCATTGATCAATGGCCATCCCAGTGTTGGAGTTTAAGTTATTACCACCCTAAACTAAAGCTGAATGAGATCCCGAGGAGCAAGAAACTCAAAAAGAAAGGCATTCAGGCTCTATCAGAGACAACGCTGTGCTCCACAATCAGGCTGCAGTCCATTGTTGGTGGAATTTGCATTTGTTCCCACAGTCCTTTCTCTCATACTAAATTTTCTCCACTGACTGTGGACAGTTTGTTTTGCAGCCACCTCCGATGCTACTTTTCAGGAAGTTTACAGTACATGTGTTTGCAGCTCTTTCCTGGCTCACCCTCACAGCACCATGCCTTTTAAAGTATAAGCAGATTCCAGGAGACACTGTGTCAGTCAATCAAATAAACATCAAATACCTGCTATGCACAGTGCCAAGAATCTCACCATTATCTATCTATAAAGTAAACACATTTTCTAATCTCAAAGCTTAGGTAACTATCAATGCAGGTTAGTATGTGCTAACAGAGTGGCTCAGTTAAGTGTCAATGTCAAGATGTTAATAGGAAGGGCAAGTCATTTCTGAGTTCATGGATCTCAGAAACAAAGTTAACCAATCACCACTCCACCCCATCCTCTGACACAATCAAGAACAGAATCCTGTATACAAAATGGTGCCTATTAGAGCTGACACATGCTGCAACATGCAAGCTTAACATGTTTCTACTATTTCTTTCAGAAAGTATTTTCTTCTTTATGAGTAGAAGTTTAAATATTGATTTCTCACTAACTAGTGTGATTTATATATAATGAAGTAGAAATATCCTAAATTTAGGGATCATAGGATGAGGGTGAGAGTCTCAGCCTTATGACGTACTAACCATAAATCCTGAGCAAGTTACGTAACAGCTCTGAGCCTCAGTGCCCTCATTTGGAAAAATGAGAGTAGGACATGTCTTTTATAAGATTGTTTTTCATATTAGAAACAGAGTAAGCCATACAAAGGTACATAGAAGTGCTAAATAAACTATATCCATTACTGCTACTGTTAACCAAAAATAGTCCAATTCCCCAGTTCACTTCCCTAGCTCCCACTGCTGTCATATGGAACTCTGAGCTCTGAATCCACAGTAATTTCTAAAAAGCTGAAAATTATCATCTCATCTGACTTCTTAAGAGGAAAAAGATAAAACACAATATCAGGCATGAAGAAACTGAATAAATTAAAACTCCCCCTCGGATGTTCCACAAATCCATACTACCTTGAAACTTCCCTGACAGAATTTGCACCTACCCTCAACCTTGAGCTAGACTTACCCACCTCTGACCTAGGGCCAGCCACATAGCCTTTTTGCACGAGCATCTATGCAGAACAAAAATTATCTTTCAATCATATTTTCACACTGATAATTGTTCACCAAGACCAATTGTACCAAAAATCAATAGAACCCACATATGTATCAGGAGGATAAGAGGAATCAAACATCTTCCCCTCATTTATATGCAGTCATCCTCAAATCTAAATTTCTCATCCCCACAATTTCCTCAATTCCAACATATCTTACAGGGGTTGAAGTAAAGTGATAGGAAAAGTAAGAAGGATTTCCAATATCTTAAGAGAGTAGCACAAATCACAAGGCATGCCTTTCACCAGCAATCTGGGTTGCTGTTTCAGAGCCAGGCCTACATCAGGTCCAGTAAGAGACACAGAGCCCCACTCTCTAGAAATGGAAGTTGGACAAAGTTCTGGGAGGCCCAGGGAAAGGAAGGCGAGTGCAGCGTGGCCAACATTCTGATGAACCATAAAGGAGAGGAAATGGCACTTTCCTCTGATTCATGCAAAAACGATTTACTCTCGTTCCTTCTAACCATTAATAGTCTGAAAATGTGGTGCAACTGGCCTCCAGAGTCACCCTGCTTCCAGGGCCCATCCAGCAGTCCCGGGTCAAGCCGACACAGAAATCAGATCAAAAGTGAATCTGAGGTAGTGGTACTCTACCCTGACTGTTGACAGATGGAGAATGGAAGCAACATAACTGCTCTCTCTTGTGTCAGCACTATAAAAATGTCGGACTGACCTATGAAAGATGAAGGTGGAGGCTCGGGCAGCCATTAGGAGCCAGGCCTGACTCGGAGCAATAACTCATTCCCATGGTATTATGAAAATGGTTTTATTGCAGTGGATTACTTTTCCCCCCTCTGCAAAAATTACTGCTTATCAGCGTCACAGAAATCAAGCTAAAAACTCCCCACCTTTTCTCTCTTCTAATACAATCCCTCCCTCTGGCCAGGAACTTAATAAAATGGAACATTTCATTATTCCGGTTTGCATACCTCTTTTGAAGCTGAAACTGTCATCTCAAGTGAGTGCTCTGAAGTGGCCAGTGTTAGGGTAATTTGATTGCTTCTTGTGTTTGCTCAGACACATCTGAATGCTTGAGGAGCAGCCACCGAGCACCCAGACCTCTTGCTGGACTGGATTTGAGAGCTGCAATAGGAAGGAAATCATTCAAAAGCAGTTCTTTCTGAGACCTTCAAAGTACAGTTTGGATACGGCTTTTTCATGAGCTATTAACTGCCTGTCAGAATCTTTAAGAGGGGAAAACAAAACCAGGTGTATTGGGAATTCACATATTCACAAAAAGCTCAGCCCAGTAAGGCTTCTCTGTCTCCTAAGACCCTCACATGATTTCCATCAGTAGGTCTGGACAATAGGAATAACCAGATTGAGATTATTGCCTCCTACAATGGAAGCCTCTAAGGAAAGACTGCTATGGTATTCAGACACCTGAGCCTCAGTGGATTAACAGCCTCAAATGGAGTCCCCAGCTAATACCCTTATGGAGAGTGTGAAATCTTAGTAGATATGCTGAATTATCAGATCCCACCCAGACTTACTTATCAGCATCTGCATTTTTAACAGTCCTCCAGGTCATTTGTAAACATAACAAAGTTTGAGAAGCATTGGTTTATACCACAGAAGCAACATTTATTGACCCTCTCTGACTGCCCAGTTTATTCAGTTAGTAACAAGTTGATGGTACTCGCCGGGTAAACCACCATGTTACACACTGCTGATGTCTTGACCGCTGTCATTGAAGGCATGGCCCCTACCTTCAGAGAATTTAGCATCTAGGGGCACTACATGTGGGAATTGTTAGTGCCTATAAGGCATTACACAGCCTTGGAAAGGGCCCTCTCAAACCTACAGACTTGACGTGGAAGCATCCACCCCACCCCTGGTGCAGGTCATCTGCATCGCTGTCTGGTATGGTCTCCTACTAGAGCAACCCTCTTCCTGCAATCTCTCTGGAAGTCTCCCACAGCTCTGTCAACTTAATCCCAGGTGTCCTAGCAAGTTTAGCACTGACTCCAACACTTGTGCCTTTGAGAAGACCTGGACTATTGCCCTTCACAAGCCCTCTGCAAACATCTATAAAGCACCCCTACCACAAATACTGGTCATTAGCAAAAGGAGATATTTTTAACACAGCATTGGTCCCATTTAGGCTTTGTAGCAAAGGTATTCAGCACTCACGATGATTTCCTCCTCATTTCTTGGCTCAGTTGCAGTTTGGAGGGTAGTAAGAGTAATGATGGCCAAAAAGCTGCAAGCGGAACTGATGCATATCACTTTGGGATGAAATATTTATTAGGCAACATGCAAAGTTCTTCCTATGCTTTAGCAACCAAAATGGAAGACACATATTCTAGATGGCATAACAACAGATGCACGCATCCTTGATCCCCTGGAAAGGAGCTTTCTGGACAGCTAAAGTCTCATAAATAGAATATACATAAGGAAAAAAATTAACCTTTATATGTTAAGCCACTGAGATTTGAGGATTGCTTGTTACCATAATCCTATCTACCCAGTCAGATGCATCTTTGAACCATATCTTTTTTTTTTTCCCCATGAATTTTACATTATTATCCAACTTTATTGTAGACCACTATGAGCTAGAAGTGATTCAGTGTAGCAAAGACTTTGCTCATGTTTTCTTGGGTAAGTGTATTTACTCAGCTTTTCTTTGATCAGCAAATAGAATGAGAATTGCCTTTCTATGTAATGTTTTGTATTATTGTTGGTTTCCCACTTAATTACCTCCTTCTCCCATTCTCAAAGTTGAGAAGGAAGGCTGTTGGCTATTGGACATGGTAAACAAAAGTGCCCCCCCCCAAGAGTCAGTGATTACATCTGGAGCAGTATTCAAAAGCAGTCATTTGAACACATCAATAACCACAACTGTTTCTACCCCAACTTACTTCTTCAGACTGAGTGCCCCAGTGAAGAAAATTCTCTGGTTATGCCCTTCCCTATTAGTTGTATATACTCTGCACTAATAGTGACGGGCTTCTCTTTCACTGGGGATAATTTACACTTTATTCTCTTTTTCCAGCTAAACTGATCTAACCTTGATAAGAATAGTAAGTTGAACAGTTATTTAATGTTGCAGAAATATGCACAAGGCCATGTTGTGGCTTCAAATAAAATGTAAATAATATTTAAACAGTCTGTTCAGAACCATACTATGGGTCTGCCAAAATTCTTTTTCAGAAGAATGAGCTATCTCATTTTTTCCCTTTTAACTAGCAGTAAAACGGAAGAGGGAAAAAAAAAGTCTACGCCTACTGGAGATACTCTGGTAAAATCACTGCATATTAGCAATCTGGCTTAAAGTGCCAAGAATCTATGGTAATTCTGATTTAGGATTGAAATTCTGCCCTGAATTGAGCCTGATGTGACTGGTTATGGGGAAAGCTCAGATTGCTTAGTAGGTCACAAAACCCACTGTTAGGAAGTTCTTTCCAATAATGGGCCATTTGAGTTATAATACCAGGGTGAGGTTATGCATTATGAGGAGAGGGGAGTTCTACTTAGCCCTTTGATGACTGTCCAGGAGCAGACTCTGAAGAGATGTTTTTGTTGTTTGCCTGCTTGTTTTCCTGCTTTGAAAATTTATAATCAGATGATTTAAAAAAAAAGATAAAGCTTTAAAAGTGAAGGAGAAAAGGCAAAAATATTTAGTTGTAAAAAATGAGTGAGACAAATATTAAGGAAACATAAACAGAGAAAAGAGAAGAGACAGAAGAAGGAAGATAAACACAAGACAAGGGGGGGGAAAGTTCAAGGAAAGAAAAATAGGGAGACAAAGGATAAAAGTCTAGATATACCCCCCAAATATGCTGCCCTGTGGGCAGGAATTGTGTTTCCTATTCTGTGCACTCTCTGCTCCTCTAAAACTCAGCTCAATGCAGAAGACTCAGCTGCTCCTTAACTGACAGACAACATAAACTGATCTAATAATCTTCCTCCTCTACTTGGCTCATGGCACCATAAACTGGTCTAGTCAAGACTAGGATAGTTTAGACTGGATCGTGAGTTTCACAATCAACACTGAAACCAGGATCCCGCAGAAGAATCATGGTGTTAAATGAAACCATCAGCCATTTACACAGAATTTGGCAATGCCCAGGAATCTTCTGCAACTATAAAGACCTGCATGATGAAAAAGAAAAGAAGAAAAAGAAAGGGAACTCCGATCATGATCTTTCAGACTGCTGGAGACTACCAATAGAAATATATAAAACTAAACATACGTGAAAAATAAAGCCATTGCAAAGCTCTAACTGGTAACATTCTAAAGTTGGATTTGTCTTCCAGTTGTTAGGTCAGTGTGCTCTAAAGTGATCACTGGTGTCAATGCTGACCTATCAAATCGGTTAACAATGACCTGGACAGCATTACACCCTGTAAAAGTCCTATGGGTGCTCAGAGTCTACCCATCTCAAGGTCACCCCTGGGTAAGTGCTCTTTTTCAGTCTGTATCAACTCAGACATGGGATTCAGTTCCTTTCTTTGTGTGGATATGTACTACATGACACAGAAACACACTTGCCCTGGGAGGTCCATGTGAAGCACACTTTACTGATGAGCTCGTGAAGCTGGATGACCTTAGCAAAAGTGAACCAACTACTTAATTGTAAACACAGTATATATTTATCAATTCTGTGCTTAAAATTCTGTCCTATGATTCCTCTTCTCCTTTCCCTAACTCTCTTCCTTCTTGACCCCAAGACAACAAATGCTGCCTTTTACTGTGTATTCCAATTTTTTTGCCTTCTCCATCTTAAAAACTTCCCTGTGACCTATCTTTGCACTACCAAATCATCCACTGTAAGTATTTCAAAAAACAAAGTCAGCTCTTCCCTGTAGAGCTGGTTGTTAATAATTTTCTTTTTTTTTTTTTTTATCCCTCGCTGGCGGCGGGGGAACGAACCGGCGCTGCAGAGGCTGCGGGCAGCCTAGCGCTCAACCGCTGCGCCACCAGGGGAGGCCCAATAATTTTCTTTTTTTTTTTTTTTTTTTTTTTTTATAGAGGCATGTTTTTATTTATTTATTTGTTTGTTTGTTTGATACATGCACTGGGTACAGTCAGAAGCACGGGAGGGTGAGAGAATTCACCAGAGCCAGAGTGGGGAGCAGAGCAGGCAGAAGGACTGAAGTACACTGCTGAGGGGAGCAGCGAGCGGCAGGAGAGGTCTGCGCGCCATGTGGGACCCTCCTCTGGTGGCCGGGGAGCAGCCGGGGATCGAACCGGCGCCGCAGAGGTCGCCGGCAGCTTCGCAACCCAGCGCTCAACCGCTGCGCCACCGGGGAGGCCCAATAATTTTCTTTTTTTTAACGATTTATTTATTTTTATACAAGAGCTGGGGTACAGGCCAGAGGCATAGGAGGGTGAGAGGATTCACCAGAGACAGAGTGGGGAGCAGAACAGTCAGATGGACCGCAAACACTGCTGAGGGGAGCAGCGGGTGAGACAGGAAAGGTCTGCTGCACCATGTGGGAATCTCCCTGGCCGGCCGGGAATCGAACCCGTGCTGCTGAGGCTGTGGACAGCTTCACAGCACTGAGTTCAACCGGCTGTGCCACTGGGGAAGCCCTGGTTGTTAATAATTTTCTTGTCATAACCCAAATCATATAAAAAACACTGGACAGGCCACTATGACTGGAAATACCTTCCTCATTCATGCCTCTAAGTTAATTAGGCATTGTGCTTTCTAACAAGTTGTCTTTAGCAGTCATGTGTTCATTAAGTCTATCCATGAGGATGTTTATGTCTATGTCTATGTCAACATCCATATCTGTATCTATATCTATCTATAATTATGTCTATATCATAAATTTGCCTGCCAACAAATTCCAAACCAGCAGGAAAACACTGCTTAGAGGTTCAGTAAAGTCAAAAGGAAGAAGGAAGAGAAGGGAAGAAGGACAGGGAAGGGGAAGTTTCTAATAACATCACCTTTAAATCCAGCTGAAAGTCCCTTGCCCTGCTGACCCATCCTTGGCATCCGCTCCTGACCCCTCCTCCCTACAAACCAGGTGGATCCAGCAGCCCCAGGACAGGAAGCCCCACACAGGACTCCTCTCTAAGCCCACCTGCCCCACAGCCTTCCTTCTGCCTCTCTGGGGGCT